AAAATTATATAATTTATATTATATAAATATATAATATCTATATTAGTATATTACTAATATTGTATATTAATATATTATTATTATTAATTTATTATATATTATTTTTTGAGTATATAATTATTTTAAAAATATCATAAGTTATATATATATATTTTTATTTAAATTTTTTTTTATTTCGAACAATAACGATTCGAACACGAACGAACGCATCATTGTTCGTGTTTGGTTCGTTTAGCAAACCGAACGAAAAAAAATTGTTCGTGTTCGTCTCGTTTGCTTATCGAACGAATCGAACACGAACGCTCTGGCGAATCGAACACAAACTGTTCGCAAACAACGAGCTTTTTTGACAGCCCCAGTCTCCCCTCGAGAAGAGACATGATGCGGTTGCTTGCCCATTGTTGGACAGCGCTCCATCTAATGCCCAATAATACCACAGTGAAAATATAGGTATGAGATTCTCTCATACTAAATTGGCTTATAAAAAACTCTCATAAAGATTATTGATTTGCATTGTAGTTGTAAACTTCTTGGAAAGGTCCATATGGACACAAACTCTAACGTAACTACATGTTTGGGCATCCAACCACAAGAGCTGCCCAACATACTGGCAAAGCATATGATACTTTGGTTGTACCAACAATGCGGAGGAAGGTGATGAAATTTAACCAAATTTGTAGAGAAAATACCTTGCACTGAAATAGGCCTTAAGTGTGGAGACCAATTGTCAACACCTACTATGTAGCCTGCCACAAATCAAGGGCGGGCCAAGCAAAATTTCATCACGTGACTCCATTGATATAAAATGCAAATAAAGCTATCCGAGCTCATTGTCACAAGTTGGATGTCGCCAAATCATGACCAAAAGCGAGTGAGTTCTTTATGTAGCAAAGTGCATAGCAAATGACATCGGAGAAGCTTGCCAACAAGGGCCCAATCCAATCATTCCCAGTTGACTTGCACTTTCTCATGATTTAGTGACACAAATATTCCATCGATTGAGATGTTGCTAATGTCATCTACTTGATCGATCTTTAGGTGGGCTAGTTTTTGCCATGCATTTCGTTTTTACCCAAGTGG